GGAGCTCTCTCAATCATGATTATTTTACTACCATGCAATTATATCAAGTTTTCTCTCAGCATAGATACGTATATATAATACATAAATGATAGGAGAAAAAATATTATACGGGTATCCACTGTGCGAGTTTCGAGATAGATATATATGTATTTTTTTTTTTATCAGAACTATAACTTTAGCCGTACGCAGACGTGCCAATTCAACGCTCGCTCGTGCGTGTAAGCATACATTTGCACACGCACTGAAAGAAAAGTCTGGTTACAGATACCAAATGTATTTTGTTTAGCGTACACGCAATATTTAGTAAATATTAACAAATAGTAGGCATAATAGTAATTAACTGTTTGATAATAATTAGAAAAGGTAATATTTAGAAAAGTAAAATAAACGTTTATAATTGATTTTAGTTATATAATCCTTCATCTGTAATGTGATTGTGAGTCTTTTTTATCCAGCTTAAATTTTTTTATTGTTCTAGTTTTAAAAAATTCAGGATTATTTTTTAACACCTATTACATGAGCAAATATTTTTTTTTTTTAGTTGAAATGTTAAAACCTTTATTTCATAAAAATTGAAATTTGAACATAAGCAAAAATGAGGGCAAATTTTGAGAGTGAAAATTTCGCTTGTTCTAAAAAAGATTCAGATTGCAAACAAGGAATTAACATTTATATAGCTGGTTTTAGTTACATTAACAAAACGTTTTACTGAAATTATTTCAAAGCTATAGTAACTATTCACATCATTTATAGGCTTAATTATTATATTACCAAACTTTTTTTCAGTGTACATGTCATGTGTACGCAAAATTAGTGTATTTGGTTTTAGTTATATTAACAGAGACCATTTTTTTGAGTGAAATTATTTCAAAGCTTTAGTAACTATCATCTGGGCTTGACTGTTATTACCAGGGTTTTTTGTCATGTATACATTGAAAAAAAATATAGTCAATTTTAATAAATATTTAGTTGAATACTGCCAATTAAATATTTATTAAATATAAAGATATATTTATTTGATATACAAATATTAATTTGATTTAACAATCTTTTTTTTTACTGAACAAATATTTATTTACGGTAAGTAAATGTTTAGTTGGCAGTATTGAACTAAATATTTATTAAAATTGACTATATTTTTTTCTCAGTGTAGATGTCGTATGTACGTGCGCGTACGCGGTTTAACAACCACGATCGTTAGGCCCGACGAGGACAACGTACCGACGAGCGCAGGCAATCGCGAGCGATAGCGTGACGCGAGGGAATCGCGATCCGGAAAGACGTTCGCGACGCGACTGGTTACGTCGACCAACGAGTGACAGATGTTTCGAGAGGGGCTAACCGAATGTAAAAAAAAAAACGCCACGAAAAATGACAAAAAATACGGCGTCACGGTAATCGGATTTTCCTACGAAGACAGCAACGACCGAGGGATTCCAAACGGATTCCGGAATCCGTCTCGCTCGCGATATATTTGCAATTTTACTCGCAAACTTCTCGATGCGGACGATCGGTTACGCAGACGATCGAGATACAGCGGTGGTAATCGACGTGAGACGAAAGCGGGTAAGAATACGTCAGCCGGTGGCTCGTTGTAAGTTGTAAGGCGGAGCCAAGATGAAGCCGCGGGCTCTAATCATACCCGCGTGGAAAAGTCTAAATAAGTCCCGATGGCGGTCTCGCTGACGCTTCACGACCGGATTATTCATGCTCGCCATCGATATCCGTGAAGAATATTTATGTAAGGAACTGATGGCGATGCACCGAGGAACTCGCGCGTGGAAAGAATGGATACGGGACAATTCCGACGATTGTGTAAAATGGTGTTGCCGCTGATTTGAAATTCGATGTCGCGCGCTCCTGAGAGAATGTTCTGTATTCGAAACCAGTTCCGTAGCGCGCGTCAGTCTACATTTCCACGCGGAGAAAACTACTGTATAAAGAAACTGATGCGTTTATCTCTAATAATTATCTTTCAGTGTAAGAGAAAAAGAAAGGAAGAGAGGAGGAGAGAAAGAAAAGAATAAGGAGCAATGACGGAAACTATGAATAATTCATCACCAATGACGAAAGTTTCTTAACTCTAGCTAATTCAAGTATTAGATAGTTTAACATCAAAGTTCGCTTTTTTTTTTTAAGTTAAGATAAACAATTGTCAGTTCAGTTATTCGACATATATCTTATTGATAAAGTAGATACAAAAGGTATTAGATAAAAATCAACCGAGAAATATTCAATATAAATAAACACCTATTCGATCAAAGGTCTTAATATTTTTTTAATGTGAATTTTACTATTTCCAGTTCGAACAAAAGATAAAAGAGAGCGTAAAAAAGTTCTTAATAATTTGAATGAATTTAAGCGCTAATTCAAATGTTTGCTACAAAGTCCATTTTAGATGATCTATTATTCGCTACCAAATTCGGGACAAAATTCTATTTTTAATTTTACGTGTCGTGTAATATAGAAAAACATTTAAAAAAATAAAATTCACACATATACAAAATATATATCAGGATTTACATTTACTTTTAGGATATGTGACACATAAAATTATAAGTAGAATTTTATCTTAAATTTAAGTGGCGAATTATAGATCGTTTAAAGTGAGTTTTAGATAAAGTATTCAATATATGAAAGTTCATTTTGTTTGTAACTAAAATAGTGTCTCAGTTCAGTTATTCCAACACTTCCTGGTAGAAATTTTATGCTTTGAGCAATTATTTGAACAGTTATGTATATAATATCTACCTAGTAACTAAAAAAAGTAGAACTACTTAGAATCTTAGTGAAGAATGTAATGCTTTGCTAGCAGTTACTGCGCGCAAAACCTGAACCCATTTATTAAATAAGAACAATAAATGAATAAGCAGTATTTTAATTAATAATAATCTATTAATATACTCGATGACTAAGCAAGTGACTACGCAAATTGCATATATTTTTATCAAGAAAACTGCTTCAAATATTGAATGAAACATTTATCAAATTCTTATCTATTTACGTAATATTATTGTTACAACTAATAAAAATCCTAAACAATAATTGGATGTGCCCTGAGAAAAATGGTTTGATTGAAAGTGGACAGAAACCAGAAGATTTTGATTAAATCATCTGATTGATACAATTAGAATCTGCTGGTTTCTCCATTTTCAATCAAACATTTTTTCTCATTGTCAGTACATATGTGTCTATATAGAAAAACTATATACATTTCCACCGCTTTGCAACTTATAAAGTATAGCCAAAAAAAGTGTTAAAAAAATTCTTAATTTGTAGATGAATTTTCAACCAAGAGTAACATACGAGGGTAATATATATGAATGTGTGTAAACAGTGTAAATATGAGTGGCATTCCACGGTTAATGGAGTTACGCCCATTTCGGCACCGCAAATTTGCGCACAACGTAGGAATGCTTTCGCGATTTCTAGGTTACGTCGAAAACCAATCGACTTGTAAGGAAAGCCCATTCTGCCGATTGGCATTGACGTTTTCCTGCGGAAGGCACGGCACATCGTCTCGACCGTCGACTCCCCTCGGTCGCGTTTGTCGCGTTTGTCGCGCTCTCACCAGCCTCCGAGGCGAGAGGCGAGAGGCGAGAAGCGGAGATACCCGGGGGAGTCGATCTACATCGAAGAGAGTGACCGAGAGCGAAAAACTCCGTCGCTTTCGACAAAGTTGAAAGACGGAGTATCTCGTAAAAGTTTCGCGCGGGGATCGTTCTCTGTCTCCGGAGCAAGTATATGTATATGAAATAATATAATGTGCACAAGACGCTTTTTAGCTGGATCAGGTTGCTTCGGGCATTCAAAAATAAGACGCGCGTCGACGACGACGAGAACGACGATGATGATAATAGGCTTCCCGCAGTTTTGGAGGTTAGGTCGGCCTCCGGTCGACAGATGTTTCCAGGGTCTCGGTTTCCCATTCCGCGATTGTACGGCACGCATGTATAGAATAGGAGCCATAGTAGGCGCTATTCAATCGACAGGACGGAGCCTGGTACGGGGGAAAGTGCGGACCGGCAAAGTACAAGCACTGATAGACTGCCAGCCACGCAGACGTATGCTCGGGAGAGAGAAAGAGTGTATGTGTGTGTGTGAAAGAGAGAGACGGAGAGAGAGAGGGCGAGTGTATTTGCGGATGCGAGAGAAGGGTAACGGGGATAGAGAAAGGAGAAAAGACAGGTCGTTATCAATGCGCGAAAACCTCACCAAGATACCGAGCACGAGGTATGATTCTATCTACGTCGTGGAAGATTCCCAGTGATGAGTGAATTTTCGGTCTCGGTCAAGAAGAACACGAGAGAGAGAGAGAGAGAGAGAGAGAGAGAGAGAGAGAGAGAGAGGGAGGGAGACGACAATACGGACAACTTAGCGTGAGAAAGGAAGAGAAAGAGAGATACGTGGTCGGGTCGGTTGGCTGTTATCGCGAACTTCTGAAGACCAACGCGCGACCGACGTCATTAAAGAAGACACCCGGGAGTCACGAAGAGATTCTCGACTTGTTTATACTTTTCGGCCACGTAGCGCGCGCGCGTATGTGTGCGTGTATTATATTTTCACCTCGTATACGACGATGCCGGTAGAGTCCATGGCACGTATCATTTCGCTCGCTCGTCAGCCGTTAACGTTCAACGTCCACGCCGTGTATAACGTGTATAACGTGAGCCAGGAACGGACCTGGCTTTAGCATTTACCTCTGTCTAACTTCTGTCACGTTGGCCAACGTTGGCCACATCGAAGAAACTCCGACTCTATAGACTAAGAAAAAAAAAGAGAAAATAAGGAGCGAGCAACCGGGTGAATAAGTCACCGTGGAAAATCGTCTGCCGACGGATGAATAGGAGAGAGAGAGAGAGAGAGAGAGAGAGAGAGAGAGAGAGAGAGGAGCGACGGCGAAAAACGGCAGAGAGAAACTCACTCGTACGTACATAGACACATGTATGTACACTCCTTCATATAAGACATATAGATGTACTAGTTGACCGAGTACTCACCTCTCGCTTCTTGGCCAGGGTCTCTCTCTTCAGGGACGGGCCCGACGGTCACGTAGCCGCATGTTCCGCTTATCCGCGGACTGTCTGTACCCCTGTCCGGTTAGTCGGGCACTCGTCAGCGACACACAGCCATCTTGCGTAGCGGCTGGTCTGGCTCGTCGCGCGGACGCCTTCGGTGCGGTGGCCCCCGGCGAGAGCGACTGAGAGAGATAGAGAGAGGAGCGGCGG